AGAAGAAGAAGAAGAAGAAGAAGAAGAAGAAGAAGAAGAAGAAGAAGAAGAAGAAGAAGAAGAAGAAGAAGAAGAAGAAGAAGAAGAAGAAATATCATAACCAATTAATTCTTTGCAAAGACCAACAGCTCCTGTATGGATTCCAGCTGGCCCTGGAAGTTAATGAAAACATGGAGAGTGCAGATGTCCACCCACGCAGAGATAAAGACACCTTAAGATGGGGCTTGCACGAGGAAAGCAGTTAGCAGACAATCAGAGGCAACAGAGAAGCTTTTCTCTTCCACAACTTTGCTTCCCCACATTCTCTCTCCTTGGGAAATTGAAACGCTGGCTGGATCACGCAGAGAGTCTAAAGCAGGACTCAAGAGATTACCTGGGACTGATTGGCTGTTCTGATGGGATGAGAGGTCCTTTGGCTTGTTGCCACTGAAATCTTTGTGACTGGATTTTGCTTTTGGATCCCCCGGGAGTGGCTGATGTGGACTGTAAAGAGTAATGAGGAGAGGAAGAGGAGGAGGAGGGAGAGAATGGGAAACAAGGAAAGGAGGTGGAGAAGAGGAGGGGAGAACAGGGACAAAAAGAAAGAGAAGGAGGAAGAAGGAGGAGGAGGAGAAGAAGGGGGAGAAGAAGGAGGAAGAGGAGAGGGAGGAGAAGGAAGAGATTACATTCAGCCACTAAACACTGTGTCCATATTCTTACGACCCCATTGTAAAAACTCAATATTTCAATACACTTCAAAGAGATAATCAATCCCAGACTAGCATGTCTAAAACCACAGTGACAACATTTCCATTCAAACTGTCAAAAAGTCCTGAAGAGCCCATGGAGGTTTGGAAATAATACTCTTGAAGGCTTATAATGCTCATCTCCAATGCCAGGTGAACATTAAAACCCCAAATTCTTCTCCAACTTGGAAACAATTTTTTTAAACCAGATGTTGTGGCCTGCCAGCAGCCGGCAGATTCGGACAGTGAGGTTGGGGAGGAATCTGGGCCAGTCCTGGAGTCTGGGGAAGGCTCTGATGAGGGCTCTGCGTCGGAGGCAGAGAGGGGGCCAGGGCCATGTGCCAGTTATCAGCTGCCTTCAGAGTCAGACATCAGGGGGGCAGAAGAACAGCTGGAGCCTGTTCCCAGTGTGCGCATGCACAGAGTTGCCAGGTAAAGAACAGGGGTCGACTTGGGAGTAAGGCCACAGGTGGACAATGAATGGCCCCTCCCAGAGGAAATAAAAGAGGAGCGAAAGGGGAGTGGAGTTTGCAGGAGGCCATCAGTTCGCTTCATTGGTTTGTGACTCTCTGAAACTCCTGGCCAAGTTCTGCAGATCTCAGCCTGGCAGCTCTCCAAGCCAGATGAGGTCTGTGACCGTAAATCCTCCCTGGAAAGACTTTGCTGGAGGTGAATGAGCGGAATTCCCAGCCAATTAATAAACGGGGTTAGGGTTTCATGCTCTTGGGAAGCCTCGGTCAGAACACCAGAACAGAGTTACCTCCTTCGGCCCCTTCCAGCTAAAAGAGTAAAAAGGCCTATGAATTGAGCTCAGCTCTTAGGAATGACAACAAAGCCATTTCCTGCTTTCACCTTTCCCCTTTCTCCTTCCTTTCCCCACTCCTTCCTCCTTGCTTCCTCCATCCCTCCCTTCTCGCCTTTACGCGAAAGGCTTCCACCAAAGGCAATTCGGTCCTTCTGGAATGCTGAGTTGGGGGCTCGCGAAGGACTTTTGAACTAGGGCCCAAGGTGCCCTTTTCTGACGGCCGCTCAGCTGCACGCAGACCGAAAGGAAAAGGAGCTGCACCCACCTGGGAGGGAAACTCTGTTGCCCACATGGATCCCTGGTGTAGAAGGTGGAGGTCGTCCTTTGAGGAACCTACAAAGATGGAAAGTCCAGGAGAGTCAGAACCCATCCCACCTGCAATCCTTTTGTACTATCGTCTACACTGGTGTTTGTCAATGGCTGCCCAGAGAGGAGGGGGCCAAGCTATTCTCCAAGGCACCTGAAGGCCAGTGAAGGAATGACGGATGGGAACGGAACAAGGAGAGATTCAACCTGGAAATAAGGAGGAATTTCCTGACAGTGAGAGCCATCAACCCATGGAAGAGAAGTTCCCTTCAGAAGTTGTGGGAGCTTCATCACTGGAAGCCTTCAAGAAGAGACTGGACTGCCATCTGTCAGAAATGGTGTAGGGTCTCCTGCTTGGGCAGTGGGGTTGGACTAGATGACCTACAAGGTCCCTTCCAACTGTATTAATCTGTTAAATGGGCACCATGCTAAGTTTCCCCAGGAAAGACCTCCAAGAGAGAGGAAAAAATGAAAATAAAAAACAAACTAGGGAATCTGCAAGACCCAAGGTGGAATTGTTTTAATGCTCGTCGGTTGTTTCCAGCTGTCAGGGGTATCCAGAGTTATTATGGGCTAGAAAATCTTGCCGCAGGATCACAGTTTGAAAAAAAAAAAGTGATGGCCCCAGAAAAGTGGTGATAGTTATTAGTAGTCACGGACATCCCATAATATACTCTCACTTCAGGGGTGGGTTCCTGCCAGCATCACTGCTGGTTCGGTGCCTCAAATTCTTTTGCACCCTGCGCGCATGTGCATTTGCAAATAAAAAGGTCTGCACAATGGCAAAACCTTAAAAAAAATTAATAAAAAGTAAATTTTTGCACTGAAAATTGTCCAGTGCATGTGCAGAACTGAAAAACCCTTAGGTCCCGCAGGAGAACCAGTTCTGGGGCTGCCGGGTGCACCAACTTGGTCCGAACAGGTAGGAACCCCCCCTCCCCCCCGCCTTCCTTTTTCTCCTCTCTTCCTTCCAAAGGTCCTTCCAGAAGGCCGTTTACCTTTGGGGGTTGTTCCTCAGCCTGAGACAGACTCCAAAACCCCTCATCCTGGCTGGGGCTCAGGGGGGAGGCAGCGACCTCAGGCAGCAAACTGCGGTGAGAGGCATCCCGACTCGCTCGGAGGTTTTCGTTCTGGGTGAGGAAAGGAAGCAGAGAGAAATTTCCCCGTGATGACGAGCCTGTTATTCAAAACTGTTTTTCTAAAACTCAGAGCTTAAGAAACCGCTGGTGGCACATTGTGGATTATAAATGAAGCGCCGCGAGATACAAACGGCGCCATCGCGGAGGCCATTTTGGTAAATCAAACTGGCAGCAGCCGCAAGGACAGCTGTTGGGCTGGCCGAGGGACCCAGGCGGCAGCGAATCTGCTGGAAAGGCGACTTGTGGCCCAGTTCTTAAGTTTGCCAGATGATACGACCTGGAGGAACTGGAGCCGATCCCCTCCCGGGCGTCTCCATCAATTTGCATCCTTAATTTTGCTCCGTTTATGCGAGGCTGGGAATCCTAAGCTTTAAGCTGCGCGCGCGATCGACGGCAGAAGGCAGGACTTTGGCCCTGTGGATCAGGCCAAGGAGCCTCGGGGGAAGGAGAGGAACCCCCTGGGGACGGCATCAAGAGAGGAATCAGCCTGGACAACCTTTCTTCAAGCCTGTTAACTCCAAGGACAATTTGCTCCTGACCGATTCCTGCGTATTTCATGGGCAATAAATCATCGTAACTAGAACTTAAATGCCTGATCCCGATTTTTCACGCCTGACAAGGACCATCTTAGTTGGCTCTTAATGGCCGCCCAGCTGATCAAATCAAGATCAGAAACGATACAGGTATTATTAAGGCTAATCTAAACACAGAGTCTTGGAAGCTGGTGGTACGGTGGCCTAGAGGTAGAGCTCTCGCCTCACAATCAGGAGGCTGGGAGTTTGATCCTAGGTAGAGGTGGGTAAGAGCCAAGGTGGCGCAGTGGTTAAATGCAGCACTGCAGGCTACTGCTAGATCAGCAGTTCAGCGGTTCAAATCTCTCC